TATATAGGTTTTTATACCATACTCATCACTGTAGTATCTCATCATCTTCCAGAATGAACCCAAATTCCCATGGCAATACACCCTTTTTTCATAGTAATAAGTTCCCATACAAGTCTCTGGACCTTGCTGTGTTACACGGGAGCTGTTCAAGATTGCTCCAATCAGCATTATTTGGGCTGTTAGTGGGAGTTATCCGCAGCTGTTTCTTATTTCATCCCTCTGGCTCCACTCTTTATCTTGTCCTTGGGGTGTATGCCTTTGCTTTAGGGTCATCAATCTGCCATCCGGGTGAAAGTTGTGCCTCTCAGCTCCTCCACTTCCTTCTTGACCATCTGGCCCAGCTGTCCTTTTTCAGTTAATTACCATACATTTTGTACTCACACCAAACAGTAAATAAGGCAATTACAGCCATAAAACTTCTATCCTTTTAAGAACAATTATTAACACAATCAGTAAAGAATAAACTCAGAACAATTTCTTCTTTCTAATTCAAGGCTACAATTTCTTCTTACTAATTCAAAACTAGCGAAATGGAGTATTAAGCAAAATGGAGTACAATTTTTCTTGAGACAATTTCTTCCCATTAGGCTTTTGCTTACACATTAACCAAGGTGACTGTGACATTATCTGATTAAAATATGACCATGCAAATCATTGTTGCTACCACTGTTATATAATTGCAATGAATCTTAAACAAAGTGTGATGCATAACTAGAAAGGGTTAAGCATCCTGCAGGATAAATGACCCAGAGTCAACCTTTAGAGACACGTTAGAAAAATATATGAATGGTAATTAGGGCCAGTCCATGTTAGATAGGCTAGAGCTCTGAAGTTCAAACTTGTATTGTTAGAGAATTAGTGATACTAATTGTATGTGTTTATTTGTATCTTGTTAGATGTTAGCCATGTAAACAGACAGTTCCTGTCTGCCAGTATAGCTATTGATTCAGAGATCAAAAGGGAATATTAACATTTAGATGAATCTTGGGTGAAATAATGTCATTGTCTATATGTCTCTTTAAAGTTTGTGATAAACTGCCCAATGGATAAATTGCCTTACGTTAATCTGTGTAGCTAATTACTGGTGATGTTTAGGAAATAGGTCTACCTCAAAGTCTCCATGATTGCCTATTGTTCGCCTAAGGACTCCGACCTGTTGAGAGAAGACCTGGAACTGTAAAAAAAACCCTTAGGTCCGGATTCTGTTATCTTGGATCTGCTCGATGCTTCATGCAGGGGAAGCTTAAGCCGTAAGACTGAGATCTCCAGAGTCCTGTCTGGATCACCCTGAATATGGACATTGGAATATAACCTATGGACTAATTCTAAAAGAACTCTTTTCAACTTCAAAGCTCACCATCTCTACTATGAATCTGATCTCAGAACTGTACTCATGTCTATATGTATATATTGATCTTTTAACCAATACTCACCCTCTCTCTCTCTCTCTCTCTTCTTTTTTAATAAATCTTAGTTTAGTTAATAAGAATTGGGTAAGATCTGGAACATTCATTAACCTGGAAGGTAATGTGTCCGATCCTTTGGGATTGATAGAACTTTCTTATATGGTTAATAAGATTTTCAGTAATCCTCATCATATTTGACTTGGGTGTCTGGTGGAGGCCTGAGGCTGGGTTGCTTTAAGGGAATTGTGTTGTTGGCTTCTGGGTGACCAGTGAGGTATTATAGAAGCTGTTTTGTGCAGGTCTGGTAAATCTAAGTATTGGAATATTCACCAGCTCTGGCGATTGTCTGCCCCATTCTTTGCAGTTTACCTTAATTGAGTAACTTCAGCGTGGCTCCCTGGGACCCTGGTCACAGCAACTAACATCTGTTTTGTGTTGTTTGTTCCCTCTTCCTCCCCCACACCCAGCAGAAGAAGCACATGCAGTAAAGTGCCTTGTTTTGGTAGGGTTTTGTTGTTGGTTTTTCAATAGATATATCTGTTGCTATGTACTTTGATAAGACAAGGTGAAAGAAATGCACCTTGCACTGGAAGTCAAAAGCAGTGAAGTTTGTGATGGTCATTTTTTGGGTGAGTTCATGCCATAGGCTTGGACCAGCCCCAGAGAAGGTTCTCTCTCCCGCACAGACGAACTTTATTCTTACTGTGTTTGAGTTGAATGCTGCATTCAGCTTCCCCCATCATCTCCTATTTGTACACTATGAGAGATTATCTAGCGAATCCGAGATTTGTTTTCCTTCTTCTGTTAATATAAACCTAATGACTTAATAGCATTTGTATTTCATGTCACATATAAAAAGGACAATCTATATATTTCAATTAAAAGCACCTCTTACTGATGGAACTTAACTGATTTGTATGTTTATTATTATTGACAATTTCCATTCTCAGGTGCTGGAATGATAGTGGAAAATCAGTTAGACACAATGGTGAACAGTAACTATAATTAAAATGTTGAATGCTCTTTTTGTGATATTACCAACAGATATACAAGATGTTCGAACTCTAGCAACAATGTTAATTTAAGTCATAAATAAAATGTATATACACTAAAATTAAAACAAGTGTCTTTCCAAATAATAGATGAAAAGTATGGACATACATTGCACAGGCAATTAGACACAACACTTTGCTTCTATTTTTCCCAAAATCTTCAGAGGAAATGTTTGATCACAAATATAGTGTAGCTCAGTTACCCGGAAATAAGTTATAGAAGTTAACCTAGCACGAAGGATGTCAGTAGGCATGGCTGGGGATAGTCACAGAAGAACCCAATCTTACTTAGCATTTTTGTTTTTGGCTGAGCATGAGTACTTCTATCTATTCATATCTCCTTTTATTTCTTCTGCAAGTGGTGTGCAATATTATTCTATATCTTACTTTAAATATTTCGATTGTCTCAAACTCTGTTAAAAGATGAGTGTTTGGGTTGAACACTGCATTCATCTTCCCCCATGTTCTGCTATCTGTGCACTATGAAGAGCATCTAGTGAAGATTGCTTTTCTTCTGCTGTTGATATGTGCACCACCTGCCATTTCTGAGTATTGGTAAAAAGGCCTCCATTTTATCTGAAATAATTTCTAGTCAGTTATTTTTCTCCAAAAACATACTCTTTCTACCAAATACCAAGAAGCAGATTATGCTTCTTTACCATACTGAGTATGCATTAAGCTAGGGTAAAATTTTCTTCCGTGAGCTACACTGCCGCTCACTTACACACAGGGTAGATCATAGCTACGTATTCTGGGTGCAACCCATATATGGGAACTCCCATTGTCAACAGAAGAGACTAAGTGTACAATATGTATTACAGATACACACTATGGATATGAGACCCACACTGTACTTCTGAGAGAAACTATACTATTTAGATAACTATTGTTTTCAATGCTTCCTCCATGCTCCATCTATAGTTTCAATCTAGTGTGATTAGGCCTGAATAGTTTCAATCGGAAAATTAAGCAGCTAGATCAAAGAATGAATTATTTTCCCTTTTCCCCAGAACTCAGACTTCTGTCATGACAATGGAATTGGTGAACATGACTTACCTGTGGAAAAGAGTGTTAAGAATAGCTAAGGCACTGAACTTAATGAAATGTGATCTAGAATTCAGAGAGGCCATATTGCCACTAAGCTAAGGAGGAACATGACACACACTGCACTTTAGTTTTGAAACTGCACTGAAGGTTTTTATGTATTTGAGCCAAGATTGTTTGGGTTAAAAAGACAATTTAGAAGCAACTTTGGGAAGGAAAAGGATAATCTGGGATGTTTTCTGTGAACAGAAAGAATATCCATAAAGGGATGATGGGTGTCTCCTTTCCTTTGCTCTCCAAGTGAGAATTTCAGTGGCTGAAAAGCATCCTCAGTCTCCAACTATGGAGTCACTCCAAACTAACATCATATTCTAAATTGATCTTTCCTGCCCGCCAGACTCAGAATTGGACCTTGCTCTTGATCTACTTTTCTAGACCTCCAGAGAAACTAGCAATATGCTGGTTGTTTAGACAGGAGCCATCTCTCTGCTCAAGGTTGATACCTCCTATCAGCCATCTGTCATATGACCATAAAAGACAACAACACAACAGCTTCTTCCTTCTCTTAGTTTTTGTCTGTCCTTGATTAGTGAAATTCATTAAATAAAAACTAAGAACTATGTGAGTAAACGGAAGATGTTTCATTGCAGTTCAGCTTTCCATCATTTAAGGATTAAGAAAAACTGGTTTTATTATTTGGATTTGGACTGGGCCAGATCATTATCTGGTGTAAATCAGCATTGATCAATGGGAGCTAATAGAACAAAGCAGAACATTAGAGGATGGGTGGTTATTACGGAGTTAAACCTCAGCCCATGAGAAAGAACCCTGAAGTTTAGCACTGGCGGTAGTTTAGTACTAGCAATAGGGTGCACCAAGTAATAGCCAATTAATCTATAAACCAAAAGAATACTCTGAGAAATGTCTCATTGAGAAACAAATGCATTTAGGAAAGTTTGTCTCCCTCTTCACAGACTGCATCTGCTTTCCCCAAGTGAAATATTTCTAGATGTGCTACAGCTTGTGCTCATTGTGGCCAGTATTACAGAAATTCATTTGAGGCAAAGGCAAGATCATTTCTTGCCTGGTGTACATGGATCTTCACTCCACTGGTATCAGAATGCAACCTACAATTCAACAGCTGAACATAAAGTGACAAAGTTCACATTGAATTAATTTGGCTTTCATGTAGACTTCATGCACCTTCTATTATTAGCATTTAAGGGCATTTTTAATTGTTTCTTTAGTGTACATGTATATAATGTCAATCTATATTAAAATTGCAAATAGTTGAAGTCAATTTAGACCCAGCAATTGGGAAACAAATGTCTTCTATCCCAAAATGAATTCATAGTGTATTTTCAACCTCCTGAATTTTCAGAAATTCAAAAGCTTTACATATTTTAGCTATTTTAATTCTATTAGTTATTATAAATCTAAGCATACATGAATTTGCAGAACTGGAGGAAGAATTAGGCAGCAGTATAATACCCTGGGTTCTTTTCTTTTATTATTGGCAAAATTAAAGGAATCTTTGAGGCTCACAAATGATTTTTGTGCAAAAGATTAGAAATGTACCGGACATTTACATCATCTGCAGCATAAGGAGTGAACTATATAGTCATAGATAATGTACTTTGTAAAGAGACTGTAAAAGAATGAAAAGAGATTTGTGCATGAAACTTTCCAAATCCATTTTACAGCTGCTCTTTTGTACAGCCCACATTCTATCCAAATAAAACACAAACTCGTGTTTCAAGGAGCCTGAAAGCGCATCTCCTACACGCTACAATATATTGTTTCATTGACATAGCCAATCCCTAGTAAAATCTGTAACTCAGTGGAGATATCTGCCAATTGAACAGACACAAATGATGCACATAAGAGTCATACAGAAGTGCACTAGCAATAAGCGTTTGCATATAAAACCATCCCTTAAGAAGAGATTGTGCTTGAAACTATTTTATAGCTATAGTATTTTTGTTCATTATGTTTAAGAGGCACTGCATAAATATGAAGTTAGTCACCTAATGCACTTAATATTTCTCAATTGAGGACTATTGCAGCTTTACTCTATGTCTAGGTGCTGATTATACTTTGGTTTGCTTTACAGTAGTAACATTGCACTGGCAACACAGCTGATACTAAGAGGAAAGCTGGAGATACTGCCAACTGGAGGACCAAAACAAGTAGTTCACTCTTTTACTTCTTTTCATGCTTCTTGGTTAATTCCCCTCTTTCTAACTGCAGACTCACACTGCTGTTTACTCTCTTCTCCTTTTGTTGGCTCTCCTGAGAGACTTGCTGAACTGCCTGCAGGATGGCAGTTTGCACAATCTGTTTACTGGCATTCTGCAGCGCAACTTCTTCTTGTTCATTTCCAGATTTCTCACCTACAAAAAAAAAGTTTGAAAAAAAGGAATTAAGTATTTTTGCTACTTAAAATACATTAAATGTAATACAGAAAAATTCTGTTAGCAAATTGTAAAGGTAAAGATTAAATAAGACACCTGCTATAACAGGAGGTGATCTAGAAAGGTGGATCTGTCTACAACATTATCAGAGTCAACACAGACTTCAGCAAGAATGAAGAGGGATGGCTTGTTCCTGCATAGATCCACCACCTGAATGGAGGAGGGGGTGTGCGTCAGATAGAAGCACTTCTCAGATATGGAATGGCTACATGTTTACTTGGTAGGTTGAGAGGAGAGGAGCCTTCCACCAACCCTCCTGGGCAACAATTTACTTGGGCTACGCTCTTGGATGAGGATATAAACTTAGCATATCTGACACCTTCTCCTTTACTGCTATATAAAGAAAGACTATGCTTCTAACAGTTTGTTTACCTTTAATAATAAAAAAAAGCACCAAACCCAAGTCCTGCTGACATCTGTGTCAAAATTTCCATTGGCTTCAGAATCTGAATTATTTTAAGGTGTAAACTGATTAATCTGTAACAAACTACACCTGCAAATATATTTGCATAAAAAAGTTACTTACCTGTTCTGTAAGTGCTGCTCATGAGGGTGCAGATGTGTATTCCACTCAGGTGTGTTTGTGCCCAGTGTACCAAGAGTTGGAGACTTTTTTTCCCTGCAGCAGTACCTGTCACTGTCGGGACAGTGTATACACCCTGGGTCTTCTCGTGGCCCCTTCTGAGCCTATGTAAGGGTGCTGCTACCCTAATCCCCCCTCCAGGGAACAGAGGATGGAGGGTGGGTCATGGAATACACATCTGCACCCACATCTAAAAAGAACAACAGTTACAGAACGGGCAAGTAATTATTTTTTCTTCGAATGTTTGCAGATGTTCATTCCACTCAGGTGACTCCCCCCCAGTACACGCTTGGAGTCTAGTTAAACAATGACTATAATATTAATTTGCCAAAATTTTCATCTGGTCCTGATGCAGTTATGACAGCATAGTGATGCATGAATGTGTATAGTGAGGACCACATGGTAGTCCTACAAATGTCCAATATAGGAACATCTCTCAGGAAATCAACTGATGAAGGTGGAGCCCCTGTAGAATGGGCTGAGAGTTTGGAGAAAGAGTGTCAGCTATCCAATATGCTGTCGTGATCCAGGAGGTGATCTATCTTGAAATCATCTGCATTGAGACTACTTGCCCTTTTATACAATCTGGAGAGGACACAAAAAGACAAGGTGATTGTCTGAAAGTTTTGGTCCTGTCCAGATAGAGATAGATATCACTCACCTAACACCTAAGATATTTGGAAATTCCTCATCATTATTAGAACGTGGCTTAGGAAAGAAAACCAGAAGTTCTAATGTCTGATTTAAATAAAAAACGGACACTACTTTGGTTAAAAACTTTGGATGTGGCCTCAAGACTATCTTGTCCTTGAAAAATATTGTGTAAGCATGGCTCATTGTCAAAGCTTGCAGTTCAGATACTCATTTGGCTGATGTAATGGCTATGAGGAATATGGTCTTCTGTTCTGGCCAAAGGTAAGCAAATGCTCAAAAGCACGCTCCTATGAGCTGCCAACACAAAGTTAAGGTCCCAGGTCAGCACCACATCCCTAATAGGTGGAAAAAGGCACATCACTCCCTTGTGAAATCTAGTCCTGGCAACCTGGAGAATACCAAGCCCCTGGGACAGGGGGATAGATAGCTAAGATTGCTGCAAGGTGAACTCTCAGGGAACTCATGGAAAGGCTGAGGATTTCAAATTAAGATGGTACTCTAAGATGTTCTGGATCCTTGCCTCTGAAGGTTGTAGCTCATAACTAGGGGGCCATATGGAAGACCTTTTCTACATAGCCATGTAAGTTGTCCTTGTTGACTGCTTTCTACTGTTAAGCAGGACCTCTTGAACTGCCAAGGAACATGACTTCTCCTCTTTGTCTAGCCACTCACAAGCCATGCAGTGAGGTGAAGGCTCTTGAGGTCTGGATGCAGTTTGTGACCATACTGCTGTGGCACTAGGTCCTGGAGAAGAGGCCGAGGGTGAGGAAATTAAACGGAGAGACCGAAGTCTGAGAATCAGCACTGCCTGAGCCATGCCAAGTCTACGAGGATTAACCTGACTTGATCTTGTTTCTTTGTGAATGACTGGAGGATCAGGGAAAAGCATACATTAGATCCAGTTTCCATACCAACAAGAAGGCGTCGGTGAGAAAGTCTGGACTGTGGCCCACTTGAGAACAAAATGGATGATTCTTCCTATTGTCTTTTGCAGTGAACAGATTGACTAAGGGAACACCCCATGTTCAGAAGATGGACTTCAGCATGCTGTTCTTGAGAGACTACTTGTAGTTGTGGGAGAATCTTCTGTGGAGGAAATCAGCCAACTGATTCTGAATGTCAGGTAAATGTGCCACTACAGGAGTGATGTCCTCTGTGTTGCAAAACTCCCAAAAGCTCATGTCTTCTTGACAGAGCTGAGTGGAGCAAGCCCCACCCCCTCTTGTTCAGATAGTACAATGCAAAGGTATTGTTGGTCCAAGTTTGGCCCAACAAGCCCCCTGATATAACTCAGAGCTCAAGGACAATCTGATATGCAGATTGGACTCTTCCTCCAACCAAAGCACTTGAGTTTATGAGCACCCCAGCCTATTAGAGAGGTATTGATTACAGTTGTCACATCTGAGGTTGGGTGAGAAAAGGGAATGCCTACACATGTATTGTCTGGGGTCATTCACCACTCCAGGGAACATATTACCACAGGCGGGAGCTTTTTAAGCCAGAAGAACACATTATTTAAGCCAGAAGGTGGCACAGGAAGTAGTCTGAGCAACTAGGTAAATCCATGGCTGACTGCTATGTTGGATTCTCTCACTTCACTCCTGAGCCCTACCTTATTCCTGATTTCTGCCTTCCTGTCCTATTCCCCTGGTTCCCACCTTGTTCCCGATCCCTACTTCTCTGCCCTACCTACTGACTTTGGCTCTGACCCTTGGCTTGATTCCTGACTCCAGCTCTGACCCTTGGTTTGACCTCTGGTTCTGACCCACACCTCTGATTCCTGGCTCCTGACTCTTGCAGCAACCATTAGGCCTGACCACCACTGGTCTGACCACCTACATCCCAGCCCATGACACCGACCTGTTCAGGTTGTGTCTGGGTGATAGACAGATTTCAACCATGAGGCTATGTGGCCCAGCAATCTCAGGCAAGTCCGAGCTGTGGTGGACAGATGAGATCTGAGGGACTTGCACAAGTCATGAATCATTTAAAACCTGTGAGGAAGAAAAGTAGTCAAATTCATAGAATTCAGTAGGGTCCCAATGAACTTGAGCCTCTGAGTTGGAATAAATATAGATATGGCCAATGGGAGCTGCGGAGCCAGCGCTCAGGGAGGCAGTGCACAGAGCTGCATGGCCACACCTCTGCCTAGGAATGTTGCCACTTCCAGGGAGGCACAGAGCTGGGTAAGGAGCCTGCCAGCCCAACCAACGCCCACCTCTCAAGTACCAGTGCAAGTTCCGGGCCATGTGGCACCACCTGCTCCCCCCGCCCCGAGCACTAGCAGGGGTCCGGGGCCGTATGCCGCTGCCCGCCTCCCCAAGCACCAGCGGGGGTTCCAGCCTCCCATCCCCAGCACCTGCAGCACCCTCCGGGCCACCCCTCTCCCCAAGATGTAGTCAGGAGTACATAGTACAAGTCATGGACAGGTCACGGGCTATGAATGTTTGTTTACTGCCGTGACCTGTCCATGACTTTTACTAAAAATACCTGTGACTAAAACGTAGCCTTACTCATAATACAAACTCTGCATAATGAGTGAGCTCATTTCATTCTTAATTGGCCCTGTTGTGCCTTGGTATCAGGATATGTAATTGGCTTTCTGTTCTGAAGCCACATGAGAGGAGCTCTTTACATAATAACTAGGGTAAATCAGAGTCCACTGAAGATTAAGTTCTGTGTGAAGCATTCTGAGCTGTGAGAAATTCCCAGTCTTTACTTTATAAATCTTTCAAGATCAAATTTAAGATTCTTATGACAGGGTAAATAGCAAAATGTTGTTCTCACCTGATGGAAAACAATGCAAAGTCTTGGTATTATATGTCCAAATCAAAAGCATGACACCACTCAAACTACTAACCTTATGAGAAAGAGGGAATTTGTGAACTCTAATACTTTGTAAGGACAGATGTTGTTTAGTTTTAGCAAGGTCATTTTGAAATGTAACGATTAACTTAATGTAATTTTATTTTTAAATTACCATACTTTAAGATAGATTTTAGCCAAAATATAAAATAAGAATGTGGTTTACAGTTTAAAAAGAATTTATACTTAGTATCGGAGCTGACAACATTTGGTCCCATGTTAAAGAAGCTAAATCAAACTCCTAGAAAGCCAGATTTTAGATGAAAACATTGACACAATGGAACCACTTGAATTCTTGGCACTATCCGCTCCCTTCTATTCAGTTTCTTCCATTCCCAAGCATTTGAAACAGTAAGTGTTTTCTGGATGCAGTTCAATGTCATTTAACAATAAAATGCAGAATATTTCTCTATTATCCAAGAACTAATGTATCACAGAGCCAATTTGTTCTCCTGTAAGGCAGTCAGAGGTCATCCAACTTCAGCTGGTGTCCTAAAGGTGATATTTTATCAAGAATAATGGATAAATATAAGATTGAAAACAAAGCAACATGTATTAAAGTAGGGTTTATGCAATCTCATATAAATTTCTAGAAGCTTGATTTGTGTCCAAAAACTTCGCTTCATCCACCAAATCAGTTTTTATTCCTAACAAAACATACTGTTACCATGCATGATGCTGTTGAATGTTGTTCCTTCCCCCTCCACCCTTTATCTAAGGGGTACTTCCATGTTTATTTCACAAGTTCTTTCTGATTTTCTGCATTTAGATTATATTATATAAATCTAAACTTGAATTTATTTCTGAAGATGATGCATCAGGATCTTGTCCACAATAATACCAGAGCTTCACAGACATTTTTCACACTGTGAATAGCCACATGTGAATTAATTTTCTTCCTGTGAAGTTTGTTCTCCCCACCCCCATGAACAATGGGCAAACAATTAAGTGTGGTATGTTTCCCAAATCCATGAAAATGTGACTTTTTTTTTTTCTGTGATGATAGAATTTTTGCAGAACTCCGGACTGCAGCATGAATAATGCAACGTGATTAATTTGTTGTTTAGTGTTTTGAACGTGTCCAGTAAATCACTGATTTGCTATGCTGACATTACATAATGGATCAGCCTATGAAGTTTGGAAATGTGTAACAGTAAGCAATTGACTAAAACCCCACACACTATTGCTGTGTGAGTATTTGCATGAATGTTTGATCTAATTATTTTACAAAGGGAAAATCCTGTCCCCTGCCACGTGTATGTGTGTGTGGGGGGGGGGGAAGGCTACATTCCTAGAGTGGTGCTCTTTAAAGGTTGGTCCATGGCACCAGGCAGGGTGCTTTGAGGGCAGGAAAAGACTGTGGCTGTGTGACATTATTGACATAATCTGGGACCATATAGAACATGGTTGCCATCAAAGTCCTGTAGTGGCACCAAATCTTGTATAAAGGGGGTCAAATGAGGTGTCCAAGACAAGGTTATGGTTTGCTGGTTATGATTATGCTGTGTGTATATGTGTGTATCAATTTTGTAGTTGAACTTATGAATATTGGCTCTATACTGTCTGTATTTCAAACTTATGCTACGCTTCTGGGAGACATCCCAGACAAGTTGGTGTTAGCTCTGCCTAGCCTGCTTGATGGCCCATTAAGGACCATCAGCTATACAATTGACCCATTGGGAGAAGGCAAATACGCCTTGCAACTCAGCAAGGTATGCAGGGACTGGCTCATGTGACTCCAGACTCCATTTTGCTGTAATTTTCCACAGTAAGGACTAAGAGGTGTTCTTACACCTGGAAAAGACTATAAAAGCCTGATGCCTCTCCGCCATCTGGTCTTCAATCCTGCTTCATACCTCTGGAGGAACTTTGCTACAAACTGAAGCTCTGAACAAAGGACTGATGACCCATCCCAGCTGGGGACGTATTCCAGAGACTTGATTTTGAACCTGCAGTTTATTTCATCACTGCTACAAGCCTGAACCAAGAACTTTGCCATTACTGTATGTAATTGATTCCATTTAACCAATTCTACCTCTATATCTTTTTCCTTTTATGAATAAATCTTTAGATTTTAGATTCTAAAGGATTGGCAACAGCGTGATTTGTGGGTAAGATCTGATTTGTATATTGACCTGAGTCTGGGGCTTGATCCTTTGGGATCAGGAGAACCTTTTTTTTCTTTTAATGGGGTATTGGTTTTCATAACCATTTGTCCCCATAATGAGTGGTGCTGGTGGTGATACTGGGAAACTGGAATGTCTAAGGGAATTGCTTGTGTGACTTGTGGTTAGCCAGTGGGGTGAGACCAAAGTCCTCTTTGTCTGGCTGACTTGGTTTGACTTAGAGGTGGAAAAACCCCAGCCTTGGGCTGTAACTGCCCTGTTTTAATCGATTTGTCCTGAATTGGCACTCTCAGTTGGGTCCCACCAGAACCGCATCGTTACAGGCTGGTGCTGAGGAGTTTTGTTTTGCAGCAGGTCCACTTCCAAAAAACTAACTCTAATGCATGTATCAGCAGAGGGGCTGTAGTAAGGTAACAGCACTGTGTCCAGAAACTAGCCTTGTTTAATTACTAAGATTCTGATCTGGGTATCAAAGAGTAGGAAGGGATGATTTGGTATCCATACATTTTAATCTAGGTTCTTATACTGGCACCCATCATTATAGTTCCTCTATCTGCGTAATAGAAATTTCTAAGTTATCTGACTATTACGTAAAAAAAAAAACCTTAGCGTTTGCAGAGCAGAGAGTGGTTATATTATCACTAATAAACAGCACAGGCTTCCCTTTAGCTAGTTGTTCAATTCCTGATACTGCATTTAACTTAACTTTTACTCCAGCAAACACAATACATGGAAAATGGTTTGCAGAGTGAATAGTTTTGTACCCCACCCCCCCAAAATAATTTGAGAGGTTCACAAAGCCTCAAACTCTAAGTGTACATCTACATTGCTGCTGGGACCGTGCTTCCCAGCTGAAATAGACAGACCTATGCTAGCTCTATTTGAGTAGTGTGGCTCAGGCTAGCCACCTGAGTACAGACACAGGGGGTCTGGATGGGTTTGTAGTCAGACAGCTGGCCAAGCTGCCAGTGGTTCTATCCCTGCTGCACTGCTATTTTTAGCACACTAACTCAAGCAGACCTAGCCTGTCTTTCTACACAAGCTGCGAAGCATGTTTCCAACTGCAGTGCAAACGTACCCAAAGAGTCACCAATCTCAAACTTAGAGTTCCAGTTTCACCGAAAACTGGCACTGTACACCAGCAGCTAAGCTTCTGAAGTACTCTTGACTAGGATCAAAGCTGCTCTCCATGAAAGAAAAACTATTAATAATTTTGGGAAAATATAGTATTATAAATAGATTCCATGGCTTTTTTTCTGCAAATCAATGGAATTGTTGTTATTTAAAATCAAGAACCTCTTGTGTGGAAGATCTCACATGCTCTGTGGTGTTTCCTGGCTTCAGAGTACACATAGGAACTGCTTTCAGAGAAACTGAGTTATAAACTAGGATTATAAAAACAGATTAAGATTTGCAGAAAGGTGTCAACCCAGTGTGCATATAGTCACCTTCACACACACACACACACACACACACACACCTGCACCTGCTCCACCCCCTCACAAGCATCATGAGTCTTCTTGCATGACCTTGAAATCAAATCCCTCTCCCACCCTCTATACTGTGGGCCTGCATTCAGACTTTCTGCCTTCAGCTTGCTACAGACCAGCTTTAATAATGTGTGTATGCCACAGGAAGTGAGTTTGCAACAGACAGTCATGCTACAGTAAGTCTCTGAATCACTCATTTCCTCTCCACATATCCATGCGCAAAGTTGTGGGATATTATTGTGAAGTTAACCCATTAAAGACACGAGCCTGCTATTACTCAGGGGTAAATCAGAAGTAGCGCCATTAAGGTCAATGAAGTTTCAAAGTTATAAAATTGGTTTAAGTGGCAGCCGAATCAGGTATTTAGCAGGAAACAGAAGCAGCATTTCTGGTGAATTGAAGGAGAGCAGTGGCAGGATGGTAAATGAGGAGTGATCGTGAGGGATCTTAGACTAGGAAAAATTGAGTAGACATCACTCCTCACTGCCAAGCAATGTGGTGTGTATTCACCCCATCATATCTTCTTACAGTATAGGGCTGCACTGAAGGCTCATAAAATGAATGGCATCTTTTCCTTTTCACCAACAAAGTTGTGACTGCTCACTAGCATTGAGGATCCCTAAAAGCAGCTGTAGTAAATAGAGCCAGGGGCTTCATCTTTACTAGCACATATTATGGATGAACACATATGCATGTGAGGAGAATGGCTGAGCACATATAGCAGGTTACATAAATCCCAAGCATTCAAAGAAGAAAGGAAGTCAGAGGTAAAAGCTTAGGTTCTGCTTTGTAGCAGCAATGAGTGTAGTTTCATTTCAGCAAACATATACACTAGAAACTGTCCTTCATTCAAGGTTCTTTTTGTGTAAACAGCTTTCAAGTTACCCATATTTAAAACTAAAAATCACATTCTTTTTGGCAAATTTCTTGGTAGTAGTTTAGAACTTTTAATTGAAGGAATGGGGATTAATTTCTCTGACTTGGCTACAATCGTAATTTATGTAAATATGTCTAAGTCTGAGTGAATCTTGAACCAGATCTGCATTTTGAAACTGCATATGAGTAGTACTTGCGTATATTCGCCATCCTTAAAAATGTACCATTTAATTTTATAACTATACAGTTCTGGATTGGAAGACTAATGATTTACATAAACCTGTTTACGCATCTCCATTTTCATGGGTGTTATATAATGTATTGTGCTATTTATTTGCAATATGATAGCACAATTATGATTTTATTTACACAATTAGTCCGATAAAGTCTGGATACAGCAAATGGAAAAAAATATTGCTATCTAGAAAATCAATCTCAATCATATATTAAAAGTTACTAAAATTAGATTTATAAGTTCACAA